GGTTTGCAGTCATCCACCAGCCTTCTGCCTGCACCACTTGCCTGATCCTGGTCTCAGGGATGGTGGCAGGTGGCCCTCATCCTCTCCCACCCTTGTATCTCCACCCTCCCCCGCGAGCTACCCAGCTCTCAGACTCTCTTCACTTCCACCCAGGACAAACAAGCTTCTGGATTCTGTCAGATGTTGTGAGGGATTCAGGGAGAGTCAGGAAGATGGAAAAGGAAGCCCAGATGAGCTCCCACCAATGCTCCCTCCAGCCACGGCCCAGGACACAGACGCAGACTGGGCTGGACCCAAAGCACCCACATGCTCTCCACAACTCCAGGGGCTCCCCTGACCAGAAGCCTTCCTGTTACCTGCAAGTCTACACCAGCATCCCTAAAAGTATGCGACTCAGGCAGGCGAAGGCAAAGAGCTGGACCCTGAGGACAGGGATGGAAAGGGCAGAAGCAGAGCATGGGCAAAGCATGGAGAGCTCTAGCAGAGAGTGAGCACTATACCCTGGCCACGCTGGGACACATGGAGTCCACCCATGTTTGCACAGGCTGCGACACTGTCTTCACTGGGAAACTTCACCTCCTTGTCACTGTCATAATAGCCCCAGTCATCCATCCACAAGCCCACCTCGCAGGTCAGGGCCTTGGTCCCCAGGGAAAGGAATGGAGTGAGTGAGGGTGTGCATGGCTATTTGTGCTGGGCCAGGCCCCCAGCAGACACTGACTTTGGGCTCAGTTAGACAAGGCATCCGCTGGACCTCCACACAGGGTCAGGGCCTGGCGAGCTTGAGCAGATAAATCTGGGACACTAAGTGGATGGAACAGCCACAGGAGGGAACTGGAGACAGCCCCAGGTCAGGCCAGAGAGCTGGGGCCAGGCCCACCTCCTGGGAGCAGAGGGAGCTCGCTTCTCAACTTCTGAGTCCGCAGGGCCTGGTTCACAGCAGGAGCTCCGTAATGGAAGTGAAGGTGGAAGGGGAAGGGGGAAGGAAAGGGGGAGGAAGTGGGGAGGAAAGGAAGGATGGAGGAGAAAATAGATGAGAGGAAAGAGCGGAGGTGGAGGTGGAGGCAAAAAAAGGAAGAAGGAGAGAAGGCTGAGGGGAGGGAGTAGAATTTGGAAAGCAGTCTGTAGAAGCCACTAGCAGTGCTCAGGAGGGAAGCACAAGTCACAGCCTGGGAAGGCTCGCACTGGAGAAAAATCAAACTTGTAGGAAGAAATGGGAGATGGTGAGAAGGAAGGAAGCAGAGGCCGCTTTTGACTCCCAGAGGTCACGGAATGCAAACTGTGACATATTTATTAGTTGGCCAGTGAGAGTCTCATAAAATTAGCCGTGGGTATGGGAAATGGTGTCCCCACACCCACCTTTCTCATTCCTGTCCTCACCGTGTTTTCTAGGCAGGATGAGTAGGAGATGGATGGGCTTGGGAATGTGGAGCCATGGCCTCAGCCCAACACTCTCAGGACCTTCCAGGCAGGCAAGGATCGGTGGCAAGGCCGTGCCTAGCACTGTGCCTGGCATAGCACATGTGCTTAGGAAGTACCAGCTGAATTAATGAGGGGATGAATGAATGAATGCTTGAACCACATGGTGGACAGTCTACGTCCCACCCTTGTAGCTAAGGCAGTACCTGTCTCAGCCAGCACGAGAGGCTCACAGGGGTTTTAAAGGCCTCTGCTGCCTGGGTGGGCAAAAAGCCATGCATCGCGTTGGTGAAGCCACCTGCTCCCATGATCTAGACTCTGCCACCCTATGTAGGTGAACTTTACTCACACAGTATTACTTGATGAGAGAAGTGAAATTATTTGGCAATTTTGTTCTAGTTGATAAAGAAGGAAAGTTTGAGCTAGACCTAGAAACCAAATATAAATTCACCCTACGACAGAATTCAAAGCCGAGTCTTCATTCCAGGCACCCTGAGGCTTCCAGCTGGCCCTGCACACAAACTGGACCACTCCTCTGGCGGCTGCTCACAACTCGGGTGCACCAGACAGCATCACATCTCATTGCTCCCAGTTAAGTCATAAAGTTTCCATTGTGATGGTGGAAGAACAATTCCCTTTTGATGTTTTGGGGGTCATACTCAAATGAGGAGTACAGGGGTTGGTATCTCAGAAAAGCAAGTGAAAAACACAAGAATCTCTAAAAAGCAAAATTGAGTCTCTGTCTACTGGGCTGACCCTACCAGCCTTGCTTTGTTTGCCAACATCCTTGCTTTTCCCCTGAAAAATTCATTTTTCACTTTTCCTCAAGTGGCTTCAAAACCAATACACATTGTACTATTGAGGCTAATGGTTTAATAAAACATGTAACACAGAGAATTACAGCCCTTAAAAACAAAAAAATCTCAAAGATCATTTTGTCCTATCATCTTGCCAAGAGAGGAACAAGGAGACCTCAGCTCCCTGCGTGGGCGGTGCTGGGTGTAGACAAGGAATGCCTGACTTTCCAAGATGCTCCTGTTGTGAGGCGGCATTCCTTTCATCCCCATGATGGGTGCTTTGCCAGTGCCAATTTTTACAATGATCAGATGCAACACTTAAAAGAAAAAAATTAAAACAGGCACGTTTTACTTTCATTGCTCTGGAGGCAGCAAAGATTTGTTTTAGACATGTGACACTTCAAATCCTGCAAACAGTAGTCATCTTTCTAGTTTAGTGAGGGCTGCAAGGTAAAGAAGACGCCCCAGCTGGATATCAGGCTGGAATGTGTATTATCACCCAGGCACTGGAGCCTGCTAAAGCAGAGACAAGCCCTGTCCCTGTCAACCTGTCAAGGGACATGTCCCTGCAAGGTCATGTGGATAAATGGGGGCTGTAATAGCATGGTAATGAAAGGGAGACAGAAAGGAAATCCAAAGCAGACTGAGCCAAATACAGCTTCGTAAAAGCTGTGGGGTGTGTTTATGTATGTTATAGCATATGTAAGAGGAAAAACAAACGTTCAGAAGGAACTATTAATACACCGAAATTTGCTGACAGTCAGTTACAGGCGCTTCTAACTTATTTCTTTAATGTTTATGTATCTTCCAATTTTTCTGCAGTCGATAAGGTAGCAAGTTATCTAATGAAAATAGCCTTCTTTCCAAAATAAGCCTGCCGCAAGTGCTCCAGCACCTGGAATCTCGTGGCAGCAATGTGCTGGTCCTGAAGCCAGACTGCTGGTCCAAAACCCACTCGTTCACTTGGAGTTCTGTGGTCTGGAACAAATGTCTTCGTTAGCTTTTAAGTATTATCATCATGAGCATTCATTCAGTGTTTTCTAGATGTGAGGCATGGCACTTGTTTTTATGGGTCACTTCAATTACCATGTACCAAGGGCTTATATATGCATTATCACATAGGGTTGTTGGAAGTATTAAATGCAATTACATGTTTGTAAACACTGGATATTTTATTATCTGCTCTCTGGATTAGTTCATGTTAGCAGCATTAAACACCTGTTCATCCAAAAAAAAAAAAAAGTTTAGCACAACTTTTGGGCGTGGCAGTGTGTCCCACCATGCATTTCTTCCCCTGCAAATTCTCCTAGCCCTGGGGACTCCAACAGGTGGCCTCACAGCAAGCTCTAATCAAAAAGCCAAGAGCTGCCAACCTCATGTTCTACAAGGGTCGCTTGGCCGGCAGGAGGGTCTGCCTACCTGCTCTGCACAATGCTCTGTTGAATTTGCTCATTTAAGGGTCTATTTTAATCATGTCCACTTTGTGTTTACAATAGCATGTTCTGGTCATTTTGCCAGAATACAGACTGGTAGGCCCAGCGCAAGAGTCTACCTCAATAAGAAAACCTTGAGATTTCAAGCAGCAAATAGGTAAAATAGTAATGAAAATTGGGCACAAACACAACTGAGTTTTTTATCTGGGCTTCTGTCTCATTGAGGAGTAGATGCTTTTAGGAGCTGGTAAATGGAAAACAGGATGCTTTCGTTACAAGAAAAGTAATTCAGTCAAGTTTTCCTGTTGCCTCAAGAATGCTCATAATTTGGAGAGAATTTTAGGCAGTGGCACTTAATGAGGTAAGTCAGCCACCCCAAGGACTGAAGACGCCTCCTTTGCCCAGAAGGTTCAGCCTGCCTGGCAGCCAAGCTGACAGCACAACAGCCCACATGTATTTCTCCTGCTGAAAGCAGCTAGTCAGGCACAGAATGAACTCAAGTCATATTGGTCTAATAAAAAAGATTGATTCCATCAGAAGATTTGCCCCTAGATCCTTCTTAAAGCAAGTCTTGGCCTAAAATATTTCATTTTTTCTTTCCTGTGAGTCTTTAAGTGGAATTGTGAATAGCAGCAATCCTTGTAACTCTGATGTGGGCAGAGGACACTCAAAATAGTAGATGGCAGATGCCAGGCCCCCTCAGAATTGCTCATGCCTATTTATATAGATGCTGCCTTCCAATTTTTTCTCAGATCTTCCAAGTTCTATCACAGCCATGGCAAAGTAATGACTCATACTTAAATGCAGTCATCAATGTCATATTCGGTATTAATACCTTTGTAGCATTGCTTTGTGTCAGAGCATTTAAGAGGAAAAAGTCCCCAAGAGCAGGAGCAGCCTGCCACCGTCCTCAGGGACCACAAAGGGCAGGGCCTGCAGAAGGCAATGCTCATTGTGCAGGAAAGCCTGCAGCCTCCAGCAAGCTGTTCAGATAAGCAGCTGTGAGAGGGATGGGGAGGGGGCCGAGGGAGGGGGAGGGGAGGCAGAGGTCACTGTTGTTGCCTTGGAAGGCAAGGTTTTAGCTGCTGCACTGATGTCTTATCTAAAGTATGCTCCTGTTTTGCAAGTTTAAAATCTTCCTAAAAGGAGAAAAGTAGGAGCTGGGCCCAAGCTCCACCCTAGCACTGGGCAGCATGCTGTTCCTCTGCCAGCGCAGACGAGCCTGTCATTCTTGCCGACAGGAAGACGGAACAGGTGCCATCAGTTCCAAGGAGTTCCAGCAATCTTCTGAAACCCTGAACACCACCTCCCCCCGACACAAAGATCCCCTACCCTCAATAAAGAGCATAACTTTGTTTCAAAAAGTTTATTGTAAAATTCAAAGCTTCAACAGCAGCATCCTTTAGAAAACGAAGCATTGCCCGGATCCGTTTTTGAAAAAGCAGCGCAGTTGGCTAAGTCCTTCACGCTCCTGCAACTGTACCAAGTCCAGGGCGCCGCTCCTTCCTGCCGAGCGCAGGCTGCTGAGTCACGCCTGCCCGGCCAGTCTGTCCTTCCCGGCCCTGCAGCCAACGTCCCAGCCTAGGCCTTCCTGGGCGAGCAGCCGCTCCAGACACTTGCAGAGTCCTCAGCTCGGGCCAGCCTGGCCCTGCCGCCGCTGGGCCCCTCCTCGGGAGGCCGCACCTCCTCGATCTCCAGGCGCCCCCCCCGCCTGCCAGTCTCCACGCCGCACTCGGGCACCCTCCGAGGGCCCCTCCACAGAGCCAGCCGCGCTCTAGGCGCCCCGGGGCGTCACCACGTCGATCAGACCAAGGTCCCCGCCGGGCCGTCACTCGGGGAGGGTGATGCTGGGCACCCAGTCGTTAACGCTGCGGCTCTCCTCGCAAAACAGGCTGAGCTTCTCCAAAGCGGGGTCCTTCCAGGCGTCCTCATTGGGGTTCTGCGGGGAGAGGGCAGGGTCAGCCTGGCTGGCCGCGGGGCCGAGGCGGGAACGACACCGGGGGCGGGGACGGGACGGGACTGTACTCACCGAAATGAGGATGCAGTGCAGGTCGCCCGGTGCGCCCGCCTCCTCGCCGGCGCCCACGATAGCCGCCAGCCGCTGCACATCGCCCACGCGCACGATGTCGATGTCGTTCTCGCAGCAGAACGCCTGGATCAGCGTAAAATGGATCTGCAGCGCGATGTCGCCCTCGTCCTCCTCATCGGCAGCCAGCACACAGAAGGTCACATTGTCGGGGTCCCTGCGAGGGCAAGGCGGGGACCAAGGTCAGAACCCGCGAGCAGAGGTCTCCCGCCGCCACCCCTCCCATCCGCCCGTCTCCTCGTCATTCACCCCCGCCCCGGTCTCCCAACCTTGGCCGTGTCTACACTTACACGTTCAGGACTTTGGCTGACTCGTAGACGCCGGCAGTGAGGCAGCCCTGGCGCTGGGCCGACAGCAGCAACTCGTGCAGCGCTTTCCCGGCACCCTGCATCCTGCGGAGGAGCCGGCACAGTAAGCTGGAGCCGGCCGGAGGAGGAGCCCCCAGCCCCGGCCACCCGGACGCACTCGTGGCTCCCCACCTCCAACTACACCCCAGACCCGGCTCGGCGCCCGCACCCCGGCTCTCCAACCTGGATCTGCCGCCGATACCACCGCGCTCGTCTCCTACCCCGCGGACTCCCACCCTGGAGGACCCTGAAGGCCGCCGACCGACCAGCCGCTTTCTCCAAGCCCTGAGACCCACCTGGCTGTGCTTTCCGGAACTGTGTCCTGGCCGCGGACTTCTTCCAGAGTCATAGCGCGATCGACCAGCTGCAAGTTATCCACAAGCGGAGAGCGCAGAGGGGACACCGGAGAACACCTGGTGAGTTAGAGCTCGGCTGGGCGCGTCTACCACGAGCGACTGCGCCCCTGCTCCGCCGCGCGCCCTTATATAGGCTGGAGGGTGCTGCGCCGCCAGCTGGCGCGAGGCTGCGCGCCTATTGGCCGGCACCCGCTTTCTGATGTAAATGAGGCGGCGAGCCGGCGGCTCGTGCCAGAAGGCCACGTGGGGAGGGGTGCGGGGGATGACAATGCCTCAAATCTGCCGCTTTTGTTGGGGTGTTACCAGGCAGACTAGAGCCTGCAGATTTCATCTCGCCTGGCTTTTTTTTTTTTTTTTTGAAGTCTTTAAAAGGAAAAAGTAAAAAAAAAAACAAAGCCAAAAAAACCAACCCACAAAAACCTTGTTTGCTAATATGATGCTGCAATTTGCGAAAAGCACCTTTATAGAATCAAAAGGAATTTTTTTTTGCATTTATTTTTATTGCTACCTTTCTGTTTGTTTCTTTCCTTTAATTTGAAGTTTGTGAGACTGTTGCATTGGGGCCAGAAATTAAGGTAAAAACAGGTAGTGCCAGTTAGGGGCTTGCGAAAGGCAGTGGGCACAGCCCCCTGCAGCTGACCACTAACGTCCCGAGAGCGCCGGTGATGCCTCCCACGCACACTCAATGTATACATGGAGTTGTCGCTGGAAGCTCCTACCCCACCTCCCCGCCCTTGGCCGAGCGCGGCGGGGCGCCGGAGAGGGGGGCGAGCGGGGGCGAGCAGATTGCGGCCGGCGCACGCCGCTCGTTTGCATTTCTATGGAGGGCGCACAATAGCAGAGGTCTGGCGTGTGGCGGTTTGCAGTAGGGACAATCGAGGCTTTCTCTTCATAGTAGCACTGTCCACCTGCTGCCGGGTGGGGTGGGCAGGCCCCCGCCGCGCGTGGGGGTCGCCGGGCTGCCCGGCGCGTGGGGTCGAGGCTGCGTGCCACTCCGTGGTCCCTGAGTGCGCGCCCCCTGTATTGGCCCTGCTACATGTAATTCCCTTCCACCCGTTTCTCGCACGGGTGCCCAGCAGCCGCGCGAGTTGGGAAGGACTGGGAGCTGGTGCGCGGTCTACACGCCTGGACGCCCTCTGGCCGGGACCCCGCGGCCAGAATCGCTTTCCCGGGGCGCCATCTACAGGCAAGCTCAAAAGATCCTAAAATGCCTTTGCTCCTACCTTCTCCCAACACACACACCCCTCCATTGGCCTGGCGCGGGGGGAAGAGCGGTGGGGGGGAGGGGCGGCCACGGAGCTGCCCGGCCAGGCCCACTGAGCCCTGTCCAACATTAGTAGGAACCCGAGTAAGGGCTGCAAAACGCATCCAAAGCGGCGCTGCAGTAACTGTGGGGAGTAAGAGGGCGAAAGGAGATTCCCATCCAGTGCTGATGGAGTAAGAGCCTGTTTGTCTTACGCTGTGTTGAAATATTTTAATTACTTAAATACGCATATGTAAAAAGAATTTTTTTCAGGCAGTGGAGTAAGTCTGGAAGAAATCTTGGGAGTTTAACAGGCTAGAGGTTGCTGTCGCTTAACCATACACGCTGGCATTTTCAGAGGGTTCACCCACTGAGCGCAGCACTTTTGCTGTCTGTACCTTTCTGAGCTACGTGGATGGGCGTTCCAGGGGTCACCTCATTGCTCCCCTTTTTGGGGTGAGGCCTGGGAAACTGGCTGGGAGAGGGGCGGGCCGGGTGGATTGGATGGAAACCCTGGCCCTGCAGCAAGACTGGGGCGATAATGGAAAAGTAAACAACGGCTAGGCTTTGTTCCTTTCAGTCAGGCTATCTTCAGGTGGGTGGTGAATGTACAAGGTACTTCTGAACTTGTGGGGAAGTTTTCATTCTGCGCTTGCGGGCAGGCACTTTTGCCAAAGTGAGAAGCTGGCTTCTTGCGCCTCCCAGCGGCTTCCCGGCGGAGGAGAGCTGCAAAGCTCCTCGCTTCCAGGATTTTAAGGAAGAGCTTGCTGTAGCATTTCTGAACTCCAGAGGGTGTCTCGTAAGGACGGGAAGTGGAAGGGGAGTGAGGGGGAGCGGGGCCAGGCGGCATTTTGCCCCGTTTGTTCGCTAGTTTCTTTTCTTTCTTTCTTGGTGTATAAAATGATTATATGCCTTGATTGGATAAAATATGTTAATTTTAAGTGATTAGAATACAAGTATTACTCTTAAAACTATTAAACATAGTTTAATATGTACCTATGTTCCCAGGAAAATGGGAAGATTCTTAAATATGTTAGTTCCAGATCCACAGGCAATGCTGGAAATAAGATTTACTTAACGTGCTGGCATCCCACCCCTCCAATTCATAACACTAGAACTCTGCCCACATGCCAGGCAAGAGAAAACAAGGGCTAGACCTGAAGCCTCAGCCCCTCCTCCCAGAGGAAAGCCACTACTGGATTCTCCTGGCTTTGGGTTGGGGGCGGGTGCATTTCCCGTCCCTCCTGAGCCAGCCTGGATCAGGAGGGATGATTGACAACCCCTGGGGCTGTTCTACTCTGCTCACATTTTTAAGGTATTCAATTTCAGGAAACTGCCTTTTTGACATATGATACAGCCACACTTTGCTTTATTAGGTCAGTCCCAATGGCCCCAAAGCCCCCATCTCAATTAGAGTAGAGCCATTTTGTCTGCAGGCAAAGTTGGCCTTCCAGCAGACCCACCACAAGCACCCTTCAGTTCAGACACATGCTGAAGCTTCTGGGCCTGGGATGCCCCCATGGTGGGGAGCAGGCAATGCCCACTAGAAGTTTGATGATGCAGACTGTCCCACTACACGGCTTTGTGGCCACAGCTCTCCCAAACTGCATGCAGCAAGGAACTTGGCCTGCTCTGTGCTTCAAGTCACAGGCGGCCGAGATGTCCTGAGCTTCCTGTGAGTGCACCCCTAAACCTTCCCCTAAGCCTCTATAATGCAGGTGATGGTGACTTACTTAAAGGGAAATCCTCAGAGGTGCTCTGTTTTAAAACCTTTTTGGAAATGTTTATAGTTGAACTATGTTTATTAAAACATTCTCTGAAACGTGCTTGTCAGTCTTTCATGGCTTAACTAGGTCATTGATGGGCTGATACCTTTCGTTAGGGTACAGAAGGAGGGTGAGCTTTAAGTAAGCAGTAAGCTTTATGAGACAGTTCTTACTGTATCTTCACAAGTTACTTAAGTGTGGAGAGTGCACAACATTGTCATTCGCTAGCAGGTGTATGCCCTTATCCTGCCCGAGCAATGTGCCAGAAGCCACCACAGCTCCGCCAGAGGCTGTGGGCTGCAAGCTAGCCACACACGAGCCCCATGCAGACTGCAGGTAGGATCTCTTTGACCTATGAGATATCTTAGGCAAAGTCAAATTCACTGCCACCTTTCCAAGTTAGCTGCATTCATACAAACACCTGGATTTCTAGCTTCTGTTGGAAGATGGGAAGATTTGGCCATCACGTGCCTAGAGTCCCCTCCCCACCTTGGTAACCTTCAGCAGGGGTCAGGGGCACTGGGATCTCGCACTGGACACTGCTCTCCCTTTCACCACAGTCCCCACCAGAGGCCAGCTGAGGACACCTGGCTGCTTTGTTCATTTGCATCACCTTCCTGTAGCCTGCAGACATTTGCACTTGCAATCAAGCAACTGAACGTGGAAGCACAGAATAAAGGGGCCAAGTTCCTAAAGATGAAACCAAAAACGTTAAGCACCATTTGTGTCTCAGCTTGTGCAGGACAGTGTCCTATGTCAGCAGCGGGCTCTTGGAGCACTCTGGGCTGGCCCCTTTCCAAACAGTCTCATGTTGCCCTCACTGTTCCCCTCATCCAGCCCCTTCTCCGGCCAGAACAAGTCTCCTCGGGGTCCTGTGTTGGGTTTTCTTTGGTCCAAAAAACTCTTGAATGATAGGGGGCAGCAATAAGTCAGTGTCAATCATTAACACAAAAAAGAAATCAAGTTTTCATGCAGGCACATAAAAACTATTACTTAAAACCCAGCAGGGACATCTCAGATGCCTTCCAGCATCTGAAGGACACCATTGCTTTGGCCCTCATCACCACCGTGCCCTCCTCCTTACCCAGGGTGAAGCGCGGATCTGCACACAGGGACGCTTCAGATGACAACTGAAACAAGGAACAGGAAGCTGAGAAAGGAAGACACCTCCGAAACACACCTAGCAAAAGCTGGACGTTTCTGGTCATTCATCCTATGGGAAGACTTTCTGGAAGAGGCAATTATTCTTGGGTGAGCATTTCCATAGCATGAGAGAGGTTAACATTAGCCCAGGGAAGTCCTTCAAAGTAATTAGGGGGGAAGGATACATTATTTATGCATTTGTTCCTTTCACCATCAACAGTAAGAAATGATTCATGGCATCCGTCACAGTCCTAGGTAGTGACAGTCACCAGCCCACACTGTAGCTGAAAACCCCTGAGAAGCCACAGATGTGCAGTCTTCCCAGCTTGACTGAGCACCCAAGTCTTCTGAACTTAGGTTTCCCAACCTAGGAAATAAAATAGTGCCCTTTACCCCTCATGAAGCTCAACAGGGTCTTAGAAGGTTGCTCCTGGTCAACCATTTGGCCCACAGATGGGTTTAGTTTGGTGGACAGTGTCCCGAGAGACTTAGAAATTCAGGTCTGACTTGCTCATTCATGTAGGGGAGAGTTGATGGCACACATCCTCTCTGTCACCATACGCAAGTCCCAAATGTCACATTAGGCCCTGCTGGCACGTGTATGCCTTGCCTGACGTTTGCAGACACTTGGGTTGGCAGTAAACTTGCTTTTCTAACAGATTTCTGAAAATGTTAACATGTAGATATAATAGAGTAACAGAACCATAGAACTTCCAAAGTAAAGCTTTCCTTCTTTTATATTCCAGAAGCTGAAAGGTATTAACAACCTCCAGAAGGCACTATGACATTGGAGTTTGGACTATGTGGAGCAGGACTCAAAGCTGGGCTTAGCTGCTTATTGACTTTGACCTTGAGCAAAAAGTTAGCAGATGATTTAAAGTATAAGGTAAAAGGAATTCATGCTTGTTAACCCATTAAAGGCTCGTTAGTTACGCTCTCTTTTAAAAAGCCATTCAAAAATGTATATGACAAGCAAATATTTATTGCAGTGTTTCTTAAAATAATGAAAAATTAGAAACCATTATAAGGGGCTACTGCTAAATCATGGTGTACCCATAAATGAAACATTGTGCGTCCATAAAAAGGGGTTCTAAGGAGTGGTTCCTGGCACAATGTAATATGAAAAAAGCAAAATACGAAATTGTGCGATTCTAATGTTGCAGAAACTTTCAGCCTACACGACTATCACTGAATAAAATCACAAAGTAGAAAATGGTGATTATATCTTGGAGTGATGAGATTGTAGGTGATTTTTAATTTTCTTTACTAAGGTTTTCTGCAGTTAAACATTCTGCAGTTCAATCTCATTTAATACAAATATCTAGAACTTCTCAAATGGAGTGACTTCAGCATTTGACGTCCTCGGCCTGATTGCTGTGGAGGTTATTGTGCGGAGTGACCTTTGACCATACGGCCACAGATCCAGAAGCCAGACGTCTGCGGGGCTTTGCTCCTGAGAGGGAGCTCCCAGACTGTGACCTTTGATTCCTGCACGCCTCCTCTTGCCATCTGATGCCGGTCTGCTCCTGTGACTAAGTGAAAATCGTCATAACTGTGCTCGGGGGTTAACTCTGGCCCGACTGGGAGGGAACGTGCCGGCAGCATGCTGGAGGCAGGGAAGAAGGCCAGCAGCCTTGTCAGGAACAAACACCCCGGACGGCACCTTTCCATAGACATGCGGTTCCCCGGGACCCCTGGGGAGTCCTCTGCACATGCCAGGGCCAGCAGCAATGGAAGGAATTATCTTTCACTCCCTTCTTGGTGAAAATGTCTATTTTCCAGAAATGAATTACAGCAATAAATTATGGAAATTGTTTCCATCGTCTACAAAACACAGCCAGGAATTCTAAAATTTGTAAATCTGTCATGTACCCAACCTGTGTTTGAGACGCTAAGGTACAATTTAATTCCTCAGTGTTTGGATTTTGTCTGTTTGAGAAGGGTGGGACCCTCCTTGAGTACACTATTGTTAGTGGTATTGTTATCATTTTATTTACCAGATTTTTCCAGGACTTGCTGTGCACCAGGCACTGTTCCAAGGACTTTGAAAATAACATCTAATTCTCATAACAAACTCATTATGTGGGTGTTCTTATCACCATTTTAGGCATGAGGAATCTTGGGCACAGAGAGGTTGAAGAACTTGCTCAAGGTCACACAGCCAGGAGGTGTCAAAGCTGGGTGTTTGGAACTCCTCTCAGAAGCAAGAGTGAACAGATGAACTTCACTGTGAAACCTTTTCTTAAGCCTTTAGAACAAACCATTTGCCCACCAAGGACAAGACGAGCATCCAGGTGAAAAGGAGGTTTCAAAACCATTTTTGGTTCTGCTTAGGAACCCTGATTCCTGCAGTGCCTGTCCTGATAGCATGGCTGCAGGGTGACATCTTGTGGTCAAAAAGAATATTGCTTCCAACCCTAAAAAGCATCTACACTCCAGCTGGTCTAAACCCCTCCAGGCCTGCAAGCACTGCCCCTTGGGCGTGTTTCTGGTGAGCCCATGGGCTCTCATCACACATTAAGGTTAACATCCAGAAGCAACAGACCGTGGTGGCAGTGGGCTTGGACCCCACCGTGCCACTGCTGGGCAGCCCCTGAGAAGCCAGGCTGGCTCAGAGGATGGTGCAGTTTGGTAGTCATGGGCAATGCGAACCACCACCACCAAGGAGAACAGACCCAACCTTCAGGGAGCCTTCATGTGTCAGCTGTAATGTCCATGCCCACTTCACAGATAGAAGCACTCAGTTTCAGGGAGATTAACACCGTGCCCAGGTCACAGAGCCGATGATGGAGCTGGGATTCTAGCTAGCATGTGCCAGACCTCCAGCCTCATGTTCACCGGCCCACACCACGGGCAGGACATTGGCTCTCAGCTGAAAAGTTACCCTGGGGCACAGCCTCTCGTGTAACTCAGCTGTGCTTGGCAGGGTGTACACACTACTTTTCTTACAAAATCAGGAATGCTCTGAATCTCCTATGGTCTGGGGTTCTGAATTCCCCTCATCAGCCACATGATGTGAAGTATATAGGTTATTTCTTTCTTACTCACAAACCCACAGGCAAATTTAAACTTGGGAGGGACCTACAAGGTGACTTCCTCTGAAACCCTGTCTAATTTCCCAATTTCTTTAGCAGCCCCTCACATGAAGAGCCTGCCACAGGTGAAATCCCACATGTGGCATGACAGCGATCCCAGACGAGGTGAACCCCACTTACTGGTGCGTCTTCCATGCACCCAACACTGCCCGCGTTACTCTCTCAGAAGGAACAGCAGTTGCAGATCCTTTGTCTCCAAAGCATGCAGGTGCACCCTGAGGATGCCCATGGACCCATCCAGGGCCAACAGCCTCAGTTTCTCCTGGGAGCTAATTAGCCTCACGGGATCTGAATCTGCCTTTTAACAAGATCCCAGGGTAATTAATGCATGCACACAAGTGTGTGGTCGTTCGTTCGCCAAAAGGTGCAAGGTATAGGGTAGATGGGAGGCGCTGTTTCAGAATGTAAGAGGCAGGAGGGTGTGAGGCCCCCAGGGGAAGCCACTGTCAGGCAAGGGAAGATGTGAGAAATATAGACTAGATGCAGAAGCTTGAGGCTCATGACGGTCACGGCCACTCTTCAGATTACCTCTGAATCTGAGAACAGGTAAGGGGCAGGCTGCACATGAGCCCTCGGCTCTGCTCTCTGCTGATCCACAGTAATGGCATTTTGACTTTGCACAGGGAGTTCCAGCTAGAGACTGCATTCCCAGTCTCTCTTGCTGCATGGGGTGGTCTTGGGCCCCAGTTCCTCTACATCCCTTGCTCTAACAGAAGTTGTTTGCCAACCAACTAGGTTCCTTCTCCACTTTGCTGTCACAGGGGAAAGGGCCTGGGGTCCTGCATGGCTGTGTGGAGCCGAACGTCCTTGCTAGCCCTTACACTCTATTGTGTACAGTAGACAAGACACGATCTTCTGACAAGACCCCAGTGTGTGATGCTCCCCTCCCGGTGTCCATGTGTTCTCATTGTTCAACACCCACCTATAAGTGAGAACATGGGGTGTTTGATTTTCTGTTCTTGTGTCAGTTTGCTGAGAACGATGGTTCCATACCACAAGAGGACCCTCGGGAGAGCTGGAGCAGGAGAAAGTACGTAAAAACCATAAACCCCTGTATTTTGGAGGTTTTTAAAAATTTTTTAATTTTCACAAAGCTTCAAATATAGAAACATTATAGAAATAGTAAAACAAAGTATTCCCACATACGCTTCTCCAAATTCCCCCATTTTACTCTGTTTCAGCCTTCTCTCTCTCCTTCAAGCATAAATATTATTTCCTGAACCATTTGAGAGTAAGATACAGACATGATGCCTCTTTACCACTAGATTCTTCAATGTGTATTTCCTAAAAACAAGAATATTATCCTAAATCTGCAAACCGTAGTAAAATAATGAAGTTCAGGAAATTAATATTGATGTAATTAATCTGCAGACCATACTGAGATTTTATCAGTTGTTTCAATGATGTTCTCTGCAGCAAAAGAAAGCCCATTCAGTAGTCATGTCCCTGTCATCTCCCTGAATCGAAACCATTCCTGAATCTTGCTTTATGACAGTAACATTTCATGGCATTGACATGATTTTAAGAGTTCAGGCCTGTTAATGTCATAGACTCTTCTGCCTCCACCCCCTACCCTGCTGGGGTTTGGCTGCTGTTTCCTCCTGATTCGATTCAGGTGGATGAACCATTAACTGGGCCATCACAGTGGCGATGCTGTGTCCTTCGGGGCGTGTTGTATCAGGATCACATGCTTTGACTTGTCCTCTGATTCTTGATTGTCATGGGGTGTCCTCTGGCTACTGGTTGCCATGGGGTGATGATCATTTGACCGCAGTGGTGTCTGTCAGATTTCTGCAGCCTAAAGTCACTATTCTGCCCTTTGGAGTCAGTGAGTGTTTGCAGGAAGATGTCAGAGGTCACCGGAGCAGGGTGGCTGCGGTCACCAGTGTACATGCTCTGTTAGCACTGGAGCAAGCTCAGCAGCAAACCTGGGCTCTTTCGCTTATCAAGAGTTGTGGAGTATACACGTTCACAGCGCTCCCTGATGTTTTGAATAGACGGGAAATTTTTATTAGTTCACCCCAAATCCACATTAAACTGTAATATTAATTTAAAAAAAAAAAAACCAGCCCAGAAGAGAGTCTGGATGGTGAATTTCCATTTTACCGAAGCGTCTACAGCAAGCAATAGTTTGTGACTGGGTGGACAGCGGGCTGCTCTGTTCACTCTCGGTTCACTCCGGACCGGACAGCTCCACCCGGCCCCCCCTCCTTGTCTTCTCAGGCTGGATCCCACCGCTGTTGCTTTTCCCCAGGATGACTGATTCAAGCAGCCATCCTACCTGGAGAGGCTCACCCTCCTTATGGAGGCGTGTGTGTCCCGGCCCCTGCCTTGCTTTAGGATGCAACAGGAGCTAAGTTCAATGAGGAAGAGGATGGCAGCCCTGTCAGAGCAGGTGCCCTGTACCTGGGTTTCAGCCAGGGCAGCTCCCCCATGCTCTCTGTGCTCCATCCACCTCTACTGTTCCCCAGCTTGCCTGTGCTCCTGCTGGCCACTGGCTTTGAGCATCTCCCTGCCCCACCCTTCAGGACCTACCCGGAGACCACCAGGAGGCCACCTAGGGCCAATATGCCCTAAGGGGAGAGTCTTGGATCACGGGTGGTGCTTCCTGCCCTTTTCTGCTCCTGGATAGCGGTGGTCACAGGCTTCACCACAAGGCTGTCCTGCCAGGCCTTTGAGTCACTCACAGAGTCCCAGATCGTCCCATACACTGTCCCCAGGAGAAGGGGGCTGGTGAGCAAGGACAGTGTCTGCCTCACTCCAGCTGGGAATGAATCCCTTCTGTACAAAGAGACAAGGATCCCCGCTTCAAGGATCTGGGACCACTAGCAAATGACAGGCCAGATCCAGGAAAGGGAAGGCGTAAAGATGGAAAGAGGGGGATTCGGCAAGGAGCGGGACCTGCTGGGCCACGGCGGGGGTGGACCTGCCACACCAGCACGGTGTCAGGCTCTCTAAATAAGAGAGTGGGTAAGCAGAATGAATTCTAGCAGGGAAGGAGATAGAATATTTTCTCCAACATATATCGTAAATATGCAGTGTGACGAGACTTCCTCACTCTGTTTATGTCAGAAAATGTATATGGACATTTCCCTCTATAACCAATATGGAGCGACATGCAGAGACCCCCTGCCCTCCCCGGTGGGTACTGCTCACTCCAGCACCTGGTGGGGGGGGGGACCAGCGCTGGTAAAAGTGGTCCCAGTGTTGTCAGGACACGGCTCAGCGGGCACGCTTAAACAGACATGACCAAAGGTGCCAATTCCCAAACTATTAATATATGTAGACCATCCCAGATGAAGCCTTTTCTCAAAATTCCACAGAAATAGTCACATCATCTAGGGATTCCTTGAAATGTAAACCGAATTTTTTACCCAGCACTTTGTACTGAGCTCTTTAGTGACAAGACGCCTGGACTTCATCATTTCACCCAGAAACTCTGGCAGGGGAGAAGTGATCACTCTGACTGCAGGTTCTGGACAGCAGGTAAGACCGAAGGCCCCAAGCAGGGGCCCCCAGCCTCTCCTCCCTCCAAGCCACCCTAGAAGGAAACAGTGATGCTCCACCTGCCACCAATCTCTATCCCCTCTGGGGCACAGGACCAGTCCCGTGACCTATTCCGCTGCTGGTGATGGTTGTGTGCTGCTGTTGCAATGCAGAGCATGTCAGCCTGGTGGGAGACCTGGGCCTCTCCGGCCATCACAGCACAGCGTGTCCAGTGTTGGGAGCTGGCCACTGGTCTGCTCCACGCCCCGCTGGCTGGCAGTACACAGACATAGTTGCCCTCCAGAATGCAGCCTCATCTGGGACCCACCCCTC